TAAACCTACTTTTTAAACACGTTTTAAACATGCTATACCAGTTTTGAAAACAACGAAAATTAATTTTTTTAGAACTTAATTTTGTTTTTAAAATTTTGGCAAATAGAAAACTTAACTAAAAAAATGTGAAAACAATCCTAATTTTGACATCCATGATTGACGGTCCATGCCATCCCAAATAATTGGCCAACAATCTTTCTCAACAGCACAATATAACAAATGTAGTTGAGTTGCCTGAAAATTTCTGGTTCAGGTAGGACCAAGAATGGTCGCATTAATTTAACCGACTGTAATTTAAAGAATAACCGAGACAGTTGTTACATACATGTTAACTTCAAAAGCAACGAGGCATCAATGTTTATCAGCACCTTCATCAAAATCAGCCTGCCTCATAACCCGAAAATCGAGTTGTTTCTGATGCTTCAAACGTCGACGTTCATCAAAAACTTCCCATCCTTCATACTGTCACAAAAAGTAGTCAGATCATTCAAGAGTCCTAAATTGATCCAAACTAATAGAGAAAAAAATTCAAGTACTACTACCTCCATTCAATCTCTACCATAATAAAAAAGCATTTAGGAAATGTTTTGAGTTTATGAAATAAAATAAAACATCATTCAAAGAGGTATCAAATCTTGAATGTGAGGGGTATGTACTGCGTATAAATTTTTTGAAACTAATTTGCAGCATGAGCACACACCTGTCGGAGGAGGTCTATGGTGATTTCTGTGTTGTGGAGATCGAGTGTAGATAGGTGGATGCACATCTTAAATAATGTACAAGGTAGGGACCTTAGGCCATTATGACTGAGGTGCAAAGCCTGCAACGCATGACAGAATAATTAAGACAGGAATCTTCTATTGAAGTTCGTACAAATCTTACACCCAGCTCATATACCTACTACATTTGTTGGGAGTCAGATATGTTCATGGAAAATACTAATTGTGAGAAATTAGGAGCAAGATTAAGCGTAGTTAATGTGTTTCTCAACATGTCATCACAGAATATAAATTAGAATAGATTTTTAATTAGTTCTCAAATGTTTTTCACTTCACAAAAACTGTTCAGATAAGAGATTTCATAATATAGATGAACCGTTATAATAAACTGTAAGAAGATAACAAAAGATGTCACTTTTTAGTTCGTTTTCCCTTTCGTTTACTGTAGATTTAACCCACTGTAGTAGATGGCTCTTGTGAGTCAAATTTTCATGAGCCTACATTTGAGGGAAGTGGTGAAATGTTAAATGATCAAAGTTTACCGAACTAACAGTTGGCCAAATATGATTCAACAGACAGCCATTATTTTCATATTGTATGTAGCTCGTTGGAATGTCCCTTAAAGAAGAGGAAGTTCGAAAGTCTATTAAGAAAACCCATCATCACCTAATGGTTAAAGAAGCAATTCACGAACTTAGATGTTTTTCTGAAGTTGCAATTTAAGCTATGATAGTCACATATCTAAGATAACATAATCTTTTTAATGCCGAGTTTCAAGGTCGCGAGCTTATCCAGTGAAATTAGTTTAGGTTACTAGGTTGGGAGTAAGCTCTGGGGAAACTTACGTCTCATTCAAAACACCTGACCTAGTGGTTTGTATCAGCAGTTGCTGAGGTTCGATAGATCAGAGCCTTATCCAATTTCCCCTTGCCAGGCTTTTTTCACCGGACAAAAGCAATTGGAAATAGAACTCTTGAGGAAGATTGGAGAAAAAGGATGAAGAAAGGCTAATTCTCAAGCTGGTTCTTGGGACCGATGAGTAAGATTTTGGCGTCAAGAGGTATTCATCAAAGTTGCTAATAAGGATCATGATGTTCTAGATGTTCCAACTGAACCTATTACACGATCAAAGGCCAAAAACATTCAATATTCAACTACAAAATTGGATAGGTTCGGTTGAACCTCCATTTCATGTATTACAAGTTGACTCGGCTGAGGAAGGACCATTTGGAGCTTTTGTAAGGTTGAAGTGGAGCATGAGGTTAACCCAAATAGCACTTCGATTAATAACTTCTTTGAAGATTTTATTTATTATTTTATCATGGTCTAACTTCTTTTAGTGACATTTGAAGGGTTGGAGGTTTCTTTTATGGAGAGGCTATAAATACCCACATAATTGACATGTCAAAATCAGATTTTGGATTATTGAAATTTAGCTCTTAAGTTCACCTTAGAAATTTGAGAATCATCTTTGTCATTTCTAAGATTTCAAGTCATTCTTGTGTAGATTGCATACGAGCCATTCAATCAAATCTTAATCAAGTTTGATTGAGAGTGACTCAACTTGGAAACCTTGCTTTTAGATTTTTTTATCTTAAGAGGTAATATATTTCTAACCTTATCTCTTAGTTGATTGAATTTTGTATAAGGAGGTGTTAATATTTTTGATTCAAGTATTCTTACTTCAAGAAAAACTTGGATTGTTGGTGGAGGATTAGGATTACCTTATCAGTTAACTTCTCTGCTTTAATTTTTCCTAGTAGTGATTCACATAAGCCATCACAATATTGACTAAGGTGGGTGGCTTTCAGGTTATGGTAATTTTGTTAATTCCGTAAATACTTGGCACAAATTTTGTTAAAACAAGTGGATCATTTCCCTGTATCTAGTTACAGAAAACTACTTTAAATTATCTGGAAACAGAACCAAGAAGTCTTAGGTTGAAACAGATAATAGAAACTAGATATTATAGAATGAAGTAGGTAGGAACCTTCAAATTGAGCAAACAACCTAGAGACTCGGGCAACTCCGACAGAAGATTTGATGACAGATCCACCTGTACCATAGCCAAGCATGTCAATAGAACTTGGGTGGCCGGGGGGTGGCAGAGGAGGGGGGAATGTTGGGAATCAATATTTCCTAGACTAATAAGAAGAGTATGAAAGAAAGGTTCTTTTGAACACAAGTCTTGTACCTCTGTAAGAGAACTACATTCCCCTATAGTTGAAGGAACAATGCTCATCCTGAGCCATGTATGAAGAGATGCATTAATAATAGATAACAGTGGACAGATTAATTCACATTAAATATAGAAAATGTTGAACTATCTGCAACACGAGAAAAAGAAGTATAAATTATGTATAAGAACTATCTACACCACAGTTATACAGATTTATTGATGAGAAATTTGTTCAAGTATATGCCACTTGGAGTTACCTATTATTGCTGACTTTCAAAACTTCAAGTCGGGTCAAAAATCTTATTTCATCTGGGAGACTCATCAGTTTGTTATTGGCCACATGCAGTTGCTTTAGTGAAGTTAGACTGCCAAGTGCAGAAGGCAAATTACTTAACCTGCATCAACCAGCTTAATTGATGTTAATGGGTACAGGTTCATATAGTACAGTTTACTTGAGCATTTTGTATTCTGATACTGCAAAAATTAGATAGCCACTAATCCTTGAAACAACTGAAGCTACTTACAGATTATGGGAGAGAGATAAAACTGTTAGATGCTTCAAAAACACTAATCCGTCCCAACTTATAGACTCTTCAGATATCTCATTAACATTCAGTAATAATTTCTGCAGATTATGATAAAATTGGAGAGATTTTACAAAGAGGAATTTAACAACTCAAATGAAAAGCTGAAAAGGTAGACAGAGATTAAATTACCTGCATTGAACTTAGACAGCCAACTTGAGAAGGAACATGGTTAATAGAGTTGTGGCTCAAATCAAGTACTCTCGCAGAAGTTTCACAAGACCACACTTCATTGGGAATTGCCTATGAGAGGTTCCAATGAATTCAGAAAGAAATAATAATCACAAACTTGTTTTGTTTTGCGAGAAACGATGGTTTGTTCTATACCTTCAAATTGCTGTCAGATAACGCTATCACTCCAGTGGCCTTCCATCTTTCCAACCGGCTTTTATCTACAGAGACACGCTGCTTAACATCAACCAATTTATTTTCATTTTGTATACTCCTTTCTCTGGGACGAGGCTTCGCTTCTCGCAGGATTGGGCCACCCTATTCAATCAAATCCAAAGAGTAAAAACTAATGTGCTATTTCTTTTAGGAGGACGACAATTTATGTCTTTGGGTTACTCGAGACAAATTCTTCTGTTCTTACTGCCAAATTCCCAATCTCAAATCCAGCACTGTTCAAATGAAAACATCTAACGCTATATATTCCGTTTACTTTTCGGCCACACAGAATATAGATGAATCCACAATTTTTAACAGAAAAATCATCTTTCTCGCAGTTCTAACAAATTAACCCTAAGAACTTCGAAAAGTGGGAGACATGGCATGTAACTTCCTCAAACGCATTTTATAGGTGAAATCAAAATAAAAATTTAGCAAAATTGAAATCCAGATGCAAGAAAGAAGACTTCAATTGAAGAAAAAAATATAGAAAAACCAACTACCCCTTGGTGCAGTCCCTGAGAAGCCATGAGCATCATTTTCGCTCCATTAGCCACCTCCGATGCCGCCAATGTCATTTCATCGGCCAAAACCTTTCCTGAAATCACATATCATGAACTTCTCAAAAATTCTAATCCATCTTTCTCAGAAAAATTATTTCCACCACACGCATGTGCATACAAATAGAGACAGAATCCACAACCTTTGAAGATGAGCTTCTGGCCACGAGGTAGGACGTCGGTTAAAGGTTGAAGAAGCGATTTCAGATCCTTCACGGTAGAATCGCAGGGAACAGTAATCGGTATCGACTTTCCAGTGAACTTAACGTTGATTGCAATGGACTTGCCATTACCTTCAGAAGTAGCCGCCGTCGCTCCGACCTCCATTTCTGGTTCGCGCCCTGGCTGAGAGGAGCCTCGGTGTGTTCCTTCAGAGCTAAGACGATGATTAGTTGGTGAAGCAACGACTTTCTCTTCTTAGTAATTTCTTCCAATTTTATTTATTTATTTATTTATGATTTTTCCTTAATTAAACTCTAAATTATAAAAAATATCATTAATATTTTTAAATATGTAAATTTTCAAAAATAATGTGCGTGATTAAGAGTTTAATTAAAATGATAAAGCACTTCTAATTATCTGTACATCACATGATTAATTATTGCTAATTAACGTTGAAATTATTATTAGTGTTTCATAATTACAACCTCTCGTAAAACAAACCGCCTTTCCTTTTCAAACCGCGACATTCTACAATAACCCTTCGTCTCCAATCTTCGTCCACTCTTTTTCCCTTTTAATCTCTTCTCTCTCTCTCTAAGCTAAAAGTGAAAAATGTTCGATCCTTCTGCGAATCCACCATTTTTTTCAGCTCTTCTTTGAATCAGAAGGCTCCGGTTCAAGCAATCGAGAAGTTCTTGTGCATTTTCGCCGCCGTACGGTGTAATTTGTTGTTCTACTGGTTTTCGCTTTGTATTTCCGGCGAGAAGGGGAGATTTGGTTGCCGTCATCGGAATTCCGGCCTCAATGTGGCGGTCGTGGAGGAAATCGATTGTTCAGATTCCTGATAAGAACTCGCAAGCGTCTCCGTTCTCTTGCTCCTCTTTCAAAGACGTTCAAGAACTTCTCGCTGACGAAACCCCTAAACCTACCTCTAGGAAGACCTCAACAATATTCCATCGAGTCCGATTCGTTAATTCCTTGCTCAAAGCGTGGTCAAATCTCCCGCCGGATGGTCAATCGCAGCTCCGATTTCAGCCCGAGCCTGAACCGGTCCTCAAATTTCTAGACCTTAAATCGACTAAGTCGCCGCCGGTTCCGCCGCGATCCGAGGCCGCACCTGTTTCGGATAAGCGAATAGTGGTTTATTTCACGAGCCTACGCATTGTGAGGTCCACTTTCGAGGACTGCCGGACTGTCCGCTCAATACTGCGAGGGTTTCGCGTTTCGATCGACGAACGAGATCTGTCGATGGATTCGGGATTTCTGGCCGAGTTACAGCAGATACTTGGAAAAAAGGAGTTGGCCTTGCCGACGGTTTTCATCGGCGGCCAATACATCGGCGGGGCGGAGGAAATCAGGCGGCTACACGAGAGCGGCGAGCTGAAGAAGCTGATTGAAGGGCTGCCGACGGCGGATTCCGGCGTGTGTGAGGTCTGCGGCGGCTATAGGTTCGTTCTGTGTGAGGAATGCTATGGAAGCCACAAATTGTTCACGGAGAAAAGTGGGTTCAAGACGTGTACGGCTTGCAACGAGAACGGATTAATCAGGTGCCATTCTTGCTCTTCTGCAACATTTTGAATCATTCTGATCCCTTCTCTTCAGATAATTTAAAGAAGAAAATGATGAAGGGGAAAAGAAATCATCCCCAATAAAGGGAACCCCCCCAGAAAAAGAGGCAACTAATTTTTATTGACCAATTTTTGGTTCTTTTTTCATTTCTTGGATCAGTTCTTAACATTTTTGTACCTAAAAAGTAGCTTTTAACGAGTTTAGCATCTTCTTATTAAGCTGCCGCCATAGAATTCTCTGGTAATATTGTTGTTTGGAGAAGAAATCATCACAAAAATGGCTTCATTTCCTCCCTTTTCCCCCCTGATAATGTTCATTTCAAGTATGAATTCGTGATACGTAGCCTTGATTTCAAGTATGATAAGCAGCATGTTTAGAATTATGAGTTCCATTGCCACTGGAATTGAGCTGGGGCTGGCCTTGATTTGTGGTGGGAAGAACATCATTTTTGTTTTGCTTGTAAAACCAGAAAGAGGTGTAGGAAGTTGACTGTACAGCTACAGCGGCAAATAATTGATTCATAATTTGGGAGAAATTTTAAGGCCTTGTTGATATATTTTAAAGAAACAAAGCTTTGGTTGTTTCTATAGGTCTCTTATTCACTGATTTTTCCTTTTCTTTTAAACCTCGACTATTTTAACAACGGTTGTCGCCATAACTTGAACTCATTCACTAGGTCGTTTCTTGAAACGTGTTCATTCTCATTTGTGCCGATGTATAACATTCATAGTTACAACTTCCCGTAAGTAAAGAGACGAGAGCACAAAAATTTAGAAATTCTTACTCTTACCTTTCATTTATATTGGGGCGACCAATCATACAATGAGTAATTTTACAAAATTCGTGAGTATAATAAAAGCATGAGAATTGCTTGTCCTCATAGTTCATCTAGGTCAACCAATGACAAACACGTAGATTAACTTTGCCAACCAATCTTTGTAAGTAGAATTAAAATCGACTTTGAGAGTTATGAATACTTGTAGTAGGTTAAGTAGGGATAATAATAATAGGGCATAGCCTTGTTTGAGTCCATCTTTGTTCTCTTATATGTATCTTCATGGCATCAAATGTAAAAGCCCAATTTTTTGTACAATAATTCATGTTTCACATTACTTTGCAGGTGAAACCATCAAATTTAAAGCTACTTAAATATATTGTTTTAACTACTATTTAAAATTAATTTATGATTCATAAGCACGAGGTTTTTAATTTTTTTAAATTTTTGTCTGGAGTTTAATGTAAGGTAGAAATCAAGATTTGAACGTCAAACGTGTACATCAGTTATTTGACCAAAAAAAAAAAAAAAAAAAAAAAAAAAAAAAAAAAAAAAAAAAAAAAAAAACATTAACAGGGTTATGAGTACCATACCGCATCGAATTTGAGATGGACTTCAAAAAGGATCCGCGATTCCCCTTTTGTGCCAAGCTAAGAATGAAAAACTGGGCTTGGATCAAGGTGGCTCAATAAAAGAGTTGACGAAGGGGATGCGCCAAACAATGAGTCTACTGGACACGGTTCAACTAGTCGATACTCTTACAATACCTTCCAGGTTCTCTTGAGAAAAGTTCAAAGATGACAGTATCTGCTAACGGTGGGCTTAGACTGTTATGAATAATATCAGGGTAAGTCACCAGACGATGCGAGACACTAGTCAAAGTAGAGCTAGACGCTGCCCATAGTAGACACGTTTTAAAACTGCGAGGCTGATGACGATACATAACAGGCTAAAGCAGACAATATCTGCTACTGATAGATTTGAACTATTACAATATTTTTACCCTAGAAGCACCGGATATTGCCGATTGAAGAGCAACGAATACAAACAATTGATACAACCATATATATTAAGAGTCTTATGAGATTAGGTCTTCAAAATTTGAGACAAAAATTAGACCAACAAGACCCGCTCCACCTTAGTTCATACAAAAATTGTACGAAGACATGTTCAAAAGGAAAAATTGTCGAACTATTACTGATTAGAATCGAAAAGTAAAAAGACAAAAATGCCCCTTCAAAACATTGGTTCTATTTATTCATCCTTATTTAGAAAGGTGGGTTGAATTGTCAATTTAGTGGCATTGCTTCATTTGCCTTTTGAGCTTATTAGCTCTCCCACCCTCCTTCACCTAAATGTTGGCCTTTTCTCCATCTTTGGTTTATCTTCCTATCTAAAAATTTCTTTAATTTCCTTATAATTAATAAAACTTCACCAATAATTATCATTCAAATTAAATTAAATTAAATTAAATTAATTAAATAAAAAATTTAATGGAATCCACCGGTAGCCGGTGACATGTAGCCATCTGAAGAATATGGACAGTCAAATTCTGAGAAAGCTCTGTCTTTACAATCTTACCCTTTTTTCTTTACGTAAAGTCTACGCCATGCCTTTTCTTATCCGATAATGTTACTTCTCACCTAAAATTTTCATTTAATTAATTAATTAGCTTTTAATGGTCTTTTTTTATCGGAGTCTTCATCTGATCTGCGAACTCGATTAATTCAGTTGGGTTGGGAGAAGTTGACATTTTTTAGTCAACTTTTCCCTACCCGATAGTTTTATGTTGTAATCCGTTGTTGTTGCCCTTTTGCTTGCATCACATATAACACTAATTTCAATCTTTCAAGCCTGGCTTTCAAAACTCTCTGCCTCGTTTTCTAAAACTTTCTTCTTGAACCGAGGCCAGAAGCTCGAGCATACGTCGCTTGGCAGTAGGTGACGCAAGAATGAATTGGCTTAACTTACTTCTTGTTGGGAAGTGAGTTCTGCACAATCGTAAGTTTGCTGCTATCAAAAGTGCAATTGTGACATTTTAAATTTGCAATCCAACTCGATTCTATTTTAAAGATTATTACGAAGATAAAGAACCTTTGAAATTTGTAAATTTAGTTAGTAATGTAATATATATCGTGGATAAGTAAAAAATTTTAAATTATTAACATAAGATAAATTTGACAACTCAACTCGAAAATAAAGGGTTGAGCTTTGAACTCTATTCGGATTGATCGGATTGTCAATCCAATCAATCAAAGTATTTTTTTCAACCCAACTAAACTGTGAAAAACGGGGGTGTGGGGGAGTAATACAAGCATCGTGCTGCTAGGCGAAGCGGTGGAGTGCTGCATTCTAGATGGCAAGAGTCCAGTATTGAAAGCATCACTAGCTTACGCTTTCACTCGAGTAGCAAGGGGCACGTGAAATCCCGTGTGAATCCGCAAAGACCACCTTGCAAGGCTAAATACTCCTGGGTGACCAATAGTGAAGTAGTATCGAAGGGTGAAAAGAACCCTCATCTGGAAATAAAATAGAACATGAAACCGTAACCTTCCAAGCAGTGGGACTCTGACCACGTGCATGTTGTTGACCAAAATAGTCAACTTGTCCGGTTTTAGGCATTTTCAAATTATTTTATGGAAAATTGAGATTTGGAGTAAATTAATTTGACCATGTGAGGGGTTCGGACAATATAATTGGTGGGAAACAGATTAAATTAAATTAAATTATTTTAAAAAATAGGTTTTATAATAATTTATGGGTTCGGGTCGCTGTCGATTTTGACTTTTTCGAGATATTTGTTGGCTTGAAATTGAAAGAAATAAGGATAATACTAAAAGAAGAATTAATTTTATTTTTGTATCTAAATAATTAATTCAATCTTACCAAACAATCAAGCTCTCAAAGACGTAATTTAAAATTTCCTATAAATAAATTATTTATTTTCACTCGATCTTATATAAAATCAATGCAAAATAATTTAAATAAAATTATCAAATAATTTTCCTAAATAAGTAGAAAAAAACAATGAAAAAACTGAAAAAAAAACACCATTATCTATTTTATTTTTATAATTCTTCCTAATTTGCAAAAATAACTTCTTATGAATATTAATTATTAATTTGTGTATTAATGTCTTAATATAAAATATTTATTATTTCTAAAAAAGCTATACAGACAATTATAAAAACCATTAATATAACGAGTGCGAAAAATAAATAAATGTATATAAGAGGAATAAAATAAAAATATAAATACCCTGTAAATACAAAAAACCGACAAATTATATAATCATTATTTAGAAAGAATGGTTTTAATTAGATGAAGAACGGCGGCGGGAATATTAGGTACGGCCACTCTGTGTAGTCACCACCGCAATATTCGCCGGGAAATGGTTCCGTCGGAAATACGACATGTCGCTGTAAATACGGTCTAAAAGAAAGACACAGAGCACGAGGCGGGCACGTGGTGTTGATTGGAAGAAGAACGGCGCTATAAATTAGAGGAAAGAAGAGTCGTCGGAGCCGAATCGCCGATTATTTGGTTCTTTTTTCTTCCCCTTTGTGAGGGTTTAATTTATTTATTAGAATTTAGAGATTCTGTGACTGTGAGAGTTGGCAAATTTTACGCGCTTTCTTCTGAGACACTAAATTTCCTGAACAGATCTTTGTTTGACTGAGAATTTTGTGATTCATGGGAATGGATGAAGGGTGGAGATTTCGCCGGCAGAGGCTGCGATGGGCGGTGCTAGCGGCGGCGATGTTGCTTTTTCAGAGTATGAGACATTGTTTTTCTTTGAACGATGAAGGTAAGGGGATTATGGGTGGTTGTCGGAATGCGTTGTTTTTCGGAGTTTTTGAGGAAATGGGGTTTGTTTGGATGCAGGTTTGGCGTTGTTGAGGATTCGGGAAGGGATTTTGAGAGACCCTTTTGGTGGTTTATGGAATTGGAAGGATAATGATGAGGAATTTGATCATTGTTCTTGGTTTGGTGTGGAGTGCTCTGAGGGGAAAGTGGTGATACTGTGAGTGAATTCTTCCATGGTTTTTGTTCATTCAAAGCTTCATGGATTTCGCCATGAATGTTGAGCTTTGTTGAGCTTGCAGGAACCTTAAAGATCTCTGTCTTGTCGGAAAATTGGCACCAGAAATGGGCAGATTGTCGCATATAAAATCCATGTAAGTGGCAAACTCCAAATCATGAACCAGTACGAGAATTCATGTCCCTTTTAGCTTAATCTTGCTCGTTTTGGTTGCAGCATTCTTCGAAACAACTCATTTTATGGAGGAATTCCCCAGGAAATTGGGCAGCTGCTTGAGCTAGAGGTTTTGGATTTGGGATTCAATAACTTGTCGGGGTTGTTTCCTTTGGATCTTGGCAAGAACTTGTCTCTGACAACCTTGTAAGGATCGAAGAACTTGCTGTCTCTATCCATTTGGTTCAATTTCCTTGCTGAGTTTCTGTTTTTGGTTTTTGTAGGCTTCTTGATCATAATGAATTCATTACCCAAACTCC